ACTGAGGGTTGCGATCCGTTGCCGGACACGGAAAAAAGACAAAAAAAGACAAAAAAAGACAAAAAAAAAAAAAATGTGATCTCTGGGCCGGCCCGGTGGCGCACTAGAGAGTGCGCTGCTTGGGAGTGCGGCGGCGCTCCCGCCAAGGGTTGCGATCCCGTTGCCGGTCCCCGGTACGGGCGCAACACCGAGGGCTGCGATCCCATTACCGGTCAGTAAAAAAGACAAAAAGGAAAAAAAATGTGATCTCTATAGAATTTGGAAGATACAATAGGGCAAATTCAGAGTGAGAAATAATCAACTCAAGCACTAAAGATGAAAGTACAGTTAAATAAGTCTTAAGAGAAAGTATTCAGTATCATTACTGAAAGGAAACTTCAGATAAAAGCCATTACCTGAGATGGTCTTGGCACTTTCCATGGCAGGTACTCTCGGTAGAGAAGCAGGTCGGCTGGTTGAAGATGTTCTTAATAGATGCTCTGCACAAAGTGTAAAGGGTCACAATAAAAAAATCTTGAGGCTGAACTTTAAAGTAATAAAAGTACAGGGAGGTAGTTTTATTCCTCTTAACCTTGAGGCTCATCCTTCTTCCAAATACACAGCACTTCAACAATTCCCCATAGTCTGTTTATCCAAGACAACTTCCATAGACAAGAAATATGGAAACATTGCATTCAATATTTTATTTCTAGGGATGAGACACTCCACACAGATGAATCCTTCTAAATCACTGACTGGCACTTACCTCTTAGATGTAATTATCAACCAAAATTCAAAGATCCCATATTGCATCTAGGTCTAAAGCACAAACTAAATAAAAGCCTTGTCCTTATGTACCTATGATTAGTAGGGAAGCCACACATATATATATATAACCATAGACAAGTCAGGATAGGATCGTAAGAATAACAGAATAATAAAGTGCTTTCAAACCACAGAGGGAGAAGCCATTCACTTTGATATCAGGCAGCAGGAAAGGCTTCAAAAACTTAATGGCATTAAGTTGGGCCTTATTAGTAAACCAGAAGTGTGGGAAACTGTGTTTCAGCCATATGAGAGCAAAGGTACAAAGACATTCAAGTTAGAGAATGATAAAAAAAGCCTATATGGCTAAACATGGGGCATGTGGAAAACAAAGAGGGCAGCAGGAAGGGGGCTTTCCAGGGAGGATGAGCTGACTAAGGAGAGCCGTCATAGCCTGGTAAGTGGCCTTTTGTCTGAGGGCACCAAGGAAGCACCCGTTCTGAGTCTTCAGAGAACACAGTAAGATACTGCCTCTGCCATCCACGTTTATGGCCTTACCTTGTTCTACTCCTAGCTTGTTCGCTAAACACAAGCTGTTTGGGGAGTTTGTTTAGTTCCTTGGAACACTGGCACGAGTTGTCCCCTCACCTCCTCGCCTGTCCTCCGTTCCCTCCTTAGCCTGGCTAACTTTATCATCCTTCAGGTCTCAGCTGAAGTCACTTCCTCAGAACCTGCTCCCCCTCACTGCCCCCCAAGTGCAGCCCAGTGAGGCACCCTGCTGACTCTCTCTTTCTGCGCACCTCTTACCTAGGGCTACAAACCTGACAAGAGGCTGTCTTCAGGCCAGGACAGTGGAAGCAAGACCAAAGACAGACTAGCTGTGTTCTGCCCGGTCAGCGTCTGTGTTAGGGATGTGTGACTAGGAGGAGGGAAAACACAAAGCCTTGTATGTAATGAAAACTCAGCCTTGCTGTCCAAGAATGTCCACCATTCCTTTTTAAGAATTAACTATTTAAACCATACCCGCTCTCAAAATAGCATGACATCAAAAGTAATAGCACATAACATTATCTCTTAAGGATAGCACATCTTTCACTCTGAAGTATTCTAAGAGTATGAGGAACATTTGGTTATAATTACTCACTACTCTGAAGGCCCAGGGAGTGGGAAGGATAGGTTTATTTTCTTAATGAAGATGGGACATACACAGCTTAGAGTCATTACAGCTTTTATACCCTGAACGTAACCTCTGTGCAAAGAGCCTACAGGCAAGCATCAATTAGAATTCTGAACCCTGTCAGCAGTTGGCATTAGTCCTTACAGGAAGGGCATATTATGCGCAAAGTCTGACAAAGTTAGCAGAACATGGAAATAGTAGAAAACAGAAATCAGTATTTTAAATTTAATCAAATTTTCCATTCTATAATTATGAAACTGTGGTCATTTTCCTAAAAATCTTAGCCTCCCAAAGAATAACAAAGCAAATTAAGGAAGTAAAATCAAAGGCTAAAAAGACAAGTAAATCAAAACAGGGAGTGGTAGCTAAACCCTGGTCATTCGCTGCATGAAAAGTGGTTCTAAGTTGCCTTATTTAGTCTTTTCTCTCCTACAATGCACACCATAGGTACATAATTGAACAAAAGTTCATGAAATTTACTGCTGATATGCGTGCCCAACACCTGATTAAATCTTTTTCTCACTGCATGTCTAAGGGTCCAAGTCTGTCTCAATTTGGCAGACAGGCCCCATCATTGACCAACACCTATTTTCTGAAAATATACAAGAATATACTGAAAGCCCAAATAAGTTATTCTTTTAAAAATTATTTGTGGTAACTTTCAACAGCGACAACACAGTCTGCTGCCATTTCATGAAGTATTTTTGCTGCAAGAATCAAATTTGCCCATAGGCACCTGACACAGTAAGAACACAGGTCCATTTACTACTGCAGTAAGCAGGCTGGTTTCCATCTTCATGTCAAACTGCCAGTTTATCCCTCTTTGGGAAATAAGATTAGTGTATTACAATCGAGTGTAGCAGGCAGGAGAGATTATATTTTACAGTAATAGATTCTGTTCTATTGCCATGCGGAGCTATTCTTGTCTTTAATCATTTAAACAAAAATCATTTGGGTGACCACTACTTGCCAAGGACTGGCATGGTGCAAAGGTCAGAGAAAGAAAGAAAGGAGACAAGAAACTTGCCCTCATGGAACTCAGAGTCTAGACCAGAAGCCAGACATTTAAACAATTGTTACCAGTGAGGGATGCTAAGAAAGAACAAACACCAGGGGCTCTGGGAACACAAGGGCTGACATGACCTGGTCTTGAGGGAAGGTCCAGAAAGGCCTCCTCAGGAAATGATAGCAAAGTTGAGACTAGGATGATTAATAATTAGGAGTTTCTATACAAGCAAAGCAGAGCTTGGAAGGGAAAGAGTATTCCTGATTGAGTGGTCAGCATATACAAGAAAAAATCCAGGATGGTGATGTCCAGAAGGCAAGGGAAAGAGTGGAGCAAGGAGAGGCTGCAAAGGCAGGCCAGAGGGCCATATCAGGCAGGGCAAGTCATGCAGCAAACTCCAGGGTAAGTTTGGACTGCATTCTGTTGGCAATGGGGAGCTAATCAAGGTTTTATCAGGTTAGCATTTTTCTGGCTGCAGTGGATTGGAGAGGGGTAATGGTGCATGCGGGATGATGAGAGTGCAGTGCTATAACACCAAGGTCGATGGTTTGGATCCCTGTACTGGACAGCTGCCAAAAAAAAGGAGTGGGGGGATGATGAGTTAAACTGTACAGATAAGAGATGATGACTTGGACTTGGGTGATATCAGTGAAGATGTAAAGTAAATAGATTCAAGGATCAAGAGACTTGCTGACCAACTGGATGTGGAGGTGAGAAGGAAGGAGGTACCACATACAGAAATAAAAAAGGTGAGGCATAAAATGGAGAGGACACGCTTGGGTGGGAGGGGGGTGAGGGAGGAGGGAGGGAGGTTTCGGTGATGGGACATAATAATCAACTACATTGTATATTGACAAAATAAAAATTCAAAAAAAAAAAAAAAAAAAGGTGAGGCATATTATGGAAAGAGGAGATGTGAACACGCTGAATTTGAGAACTCTTTGAGATACCAGGGAAAGAGGTGGAGCAGACAATTGCATAGAGAGTTCAAAAGAAAAGTCTGGATATATAGTTTTGGAAATTATCAGCTTATAGCTGATAGGGTGGGAGTATACTTGGTGACACAGCAGTTATTGGTATCCTTGGTCAGAGTAATTCAATACATTGGTGGGGACAACAGTAAGAACAGAATGTGTTGAGGAGTGAGTGGGAGACAGGAAAGATGTAGATGGGTAAGGGTAAGAGAGAAAGTACAGTACAGTAACTGGTGGGCAAAAGAGGGAGGATTTTTTTAACATAGAAAAGATGTCCAATTTTCAAATGACAATGGAAGGGAGCCAGTAAAGTGGGTAAAATTGAAAATATAGGAGAAGGGGATAATCAATCAATAGTGTAAGGCTGATAGCATCTGAGAAAGCCCAAGGGGATAAGATCCAGAGCTCAGATAAAGGGATAAACCTAAACAGATATATTCTGTTTCTTCCCACAGCCAGCTGTAGAAAACATGAACATACTAGGTAGGCTATTTAATTATCTCATTTTAGAAATCATAGAAATAATTAAGTGCAGGTAGTAGTCTCCTTATTGGCAATTTATAGGCAAAGAGTGGGTTTAAAAATAGGAGCCTTTGCTGGAAAAAATACATACACACACGTGCGCGCACGCATGCACGCACACACGTAAGGGAACTTCAAAAAAGCTCGTGGAAAGATTCATATTATCTTTCAATTCTACTCTTCTACTAACTTTTTGAAGTACCCCTGTATATATGAATGAGCCTGAACATTCAACTTCTGTTAACAGAGAAGTTCCAAATAGACCAATGCACCTGCAAAACTATAAAATCTTGAAAAAATATGAAAATCAACTACTTAAAGGCACCAAAGAGAAACTAAAAGCAGGCAGAAAATAAAGGAGTCTACATACCGAAGAAGGAAACAGCACTGGGTATTTCCCATTTTATGGCTTTTTGAATGAGCATAGATCTCAGATAAGGCCAAGTAGAAAATTCAGTCTTACTGCCTTGAAGAACCAGAGGATTTATCTTGGGACTACCACAGCTGGTAGAAAGGGGGGAAGGGGAAATACCATAAAGAGCCACAAAAAAGGAGCCCAAATTTTGTAAGTGCACTCTGTCTAAATTTCTCACCAACCTCTGAAATCTACAAGTACTCAACACTCCAAGGGGTTGAATTAAGGACAAAAATAACTGAACAGTTATTTCAATTACAGGAGAGAGTTTGGAATTTCAGGTGAGCCAACTGCTTACTAAAAAAAACCCCCAATATTTTGCAGAAGAACGTAATGGAATAAAAAAATCTCTATAATGTGTGATTCACACTGCCCAGGATACAACCCCAAATCACCAGACACGAAGAAAAAGGAAAAAGTGACACATACTCAAAAGAAATGAAAACCTACCTGAAGATGGCCTATATGTTGAAATTAGGAGAAAAGAATTTTTAAGCAGCTGTTACAAATATGATCAATGTTATAAAAGAATATATGCTCTCAATGAATGAACATAGGAAATCTCAGCTGAAAGAGTTTCGAGAGCATAAAACAGGCTCTCCCTGAAATGCAATGCAAAGGACAGCCTAAAGCTGAAATTG